GTCATATGGAAGCTTACTACTGTAGAAGCTCCCCCAAATACACAGGTACACATATATAAAAGTTTAAATAGTCTTAATTTATAATGGGTGTCAGGCAAAGATCCTACCAGATGCCACAGGCCAAAAAAATTCAAGAGAGGAATGGTTTCCTCATTCGGTGTTTGTGGTGATTTAAATAAGATGTCTTGCAAAATCTGTGATCCATAGGTCATAGTACTATGTGGGGTATTTAGGAAATGAGGCCTCACTGGAGGAGGTATCTCACTGGAGGCAGGCTCTGAGAATATAAAGACTCAAGCCATTTTGATTTACCTTTTCTGCTTCATGCTTGTGGTTTAAGATGTGAATTCTCAGCTACTGCTCCAGCCGCCATGCCTGACACCTACCTCCTCTGCTCCTCTATCATGGACTCTAACACTCTGGAACTATAAACCATAAGCTCTTTCTTCTATAAGTTGCCTTGGTCATGGTATTTCACAACAGCAATAGAAAAGTAACAGATACAATGTTTTAGTGAGGCCCAGATATTCCAAATCGCCACTTCTCTAATGTAGCCTCAGGAGAGTTTAGAGGGGCACAACCCTCTTAGGTGCACCTTGTAAGCAGTTACACACTGCTACATAACTTTGCAAATGCTAATATTAATGAGAGAAATGTATTGCAAGGCCATTTTTTTTCCTTCAAATAAAACTAAATGTTGGGGGATGGGTGGATTTGAACCTTTGATTGACCATGATTAGAATTTTTTATATGCCTGATTACATTAAGCAAACAGAGAACAATTAACTGAGATATTTGTTTTTTGCTTGGACAGATGCCATTATAACAGCCTGACTGCAGGTGCAATGAATATTGTAGTCATGATGTCTGTTTTAGAAGACCTTGCTTGGACAGATGCTATTGTAACAGCCTGACTCCAGGTGCAATGAATACTGAAGCTATAATGTCTGTTTAGAAGACTTTTCTCCAGTCACGATAGCTATGTACAAATTTTACTTAATATGTAGGTTTTAGAAAGAGCCCTGAAATAAAGATAAGCCTCTGAAAACATAGGTGACTCTGAACCTATCATCAGTCAAGGAAAATACTTCCTCAGTAACTCGGTAAGAAGCAAATGATTAGTGAGATATCTAGGACTGACTATGACTAATGGAGCCTTGTTGATTGACACAAATACAATTTCCTCTGTAAATCAGGCTTTCCAGTTCCTTTATTGAGTGAGCCAAAAGTCAGCCCATTCTGTTTGTTTTGTGAGATTCAGCTCAATAGACAGATTTTTCCCTGCTTTGGTGTGATGTGTGTAATTGGTAGAGAATGTTAAGCTGGTAACACAAAGAGCAGGCAGTGATATCAGCAAAAGCATCCTCTGAGAAGTAGTAATAGTGGCAACAAGAAGGCATTGAAAAACCTCCAGCAAAGGGGAATAGAGACATTAAGGAGCAGGGACCATGAAGACAAAAATGGCAGAAGACAAGGAAGAGCAGGCAGAAAGCTATGAGTGTGAGAGGCAGAAAGCTGTAAACTGCTGAAGATGAGAGATTGCAGGTGCTGATCTCTGGAAGAGAGCAGAATGCCCACAGATATGCCAACCTTCAAGAACAGAGAGGGTCTTGATACTCAAGACCTGAAAATCATAATGTGAACCCAAGACCTGAGGATTTTAACGAGTAGAATTTTAAATCCGTTTCACTGGCCATCACCAACTTCCAATGAGTTGTGGGTCACTGTTCAGTGAGTGCATGGCACTGGGATTCAAGAACCATTGCAGGTAGCCTCTGACTTAAACAGCAAGAAACAAACATTTCTGAACTCCGAAGCTTGGAGCTACAAGCTCCTAGTTCTTAAGATCCAGAGCCATAAGCGTTTGGGCTGGGAGATCGTGGGTCCCTGGACATACCTCAGGGCATATCAAATACCTTGACTATTTGTGATTCCCATCAAGATAGATCAAATAGAGCCTCAGTCAACTGATTAATATTCCAGGTAATATGGTACTTCTCAGCTTTCTCAAAGCAGGAGTATTAGAAAATACTTCATGGTGGTTAAAGCAAAGCTTCTGCAGAAGGTTAGATTTGAGTTGAACTATAGCTTAGCTTTTTGTAAAATAAATACACTTAGTCAAGTCACTTAACTACCATAAGCCAATTTTGTCCCTCTTAAAACAGAAATAATAAAATTAATATTGAAAATTATTCCCAAAAACAATATATAAGAGACAATTAGTACAGTATCTTAAAAATATTAATGTGCAATAAGTAGAAAATTGCATTACTATAAAAATAGAAATATAAGTATGGAATCACATTGCTATTTTATTTTTACAATATTGTGTTAATAAATTCAATGAGTCTTTTGTTAAACAAGTATGTTCAATGTCAACAGAGAATGCATTAGTAACATCCATTATATCCAAGTCAGAAAGCATGTGTCTTAAATTCTATGTACTCATGAAGATTGTATTTACAATGTATACACAAACACACAGATGTTAGTGAAAGTGCTAAAATAATTTCTAGTGACTGTGGAAGGTTCTTAGTTAGGGTAGCAAACTGGTAATATTTAAACTTTAAGAAATAACCCATTTTGTGGGGATCAGGAAGGGGTGGCTTCAATGGAGTAAAGTGTACAAGTAAGAGTTAGCTATATTAGTTTCTAAAGGCATTGTCTGTGTCTAAAATATAGTTACATATTAAAAAAATTTAAGAATGTAGTGGTCAGAAAAGTACATGAAATAATTTCTTTATACAGTACTTAGTCTTAAGTGTCACTTTTATAATGATACTGCAAAAATATTAACTTATATGTAAGGAGTATTAAAAATACACAATTTTCCTGCAAATTTTGTGAAATCACAAGTTTCAAGAAAATACAATGACTTGGAATTCATAATGTTAAGTGAGGTTACACATTCTCAGAAAGAAAAAATAATCATATGGTCCAGCACTATTGCCTGAATTCCTTCTTCGTTTTTCTCTTCTTTCCAAAATAAAGTATCCTGTGTAGTCTTCCTTTGACTTCTCCTCACAGCACAATCATTTTCTTCCTTTTCTTCAGTGGAGCTCAACAATAAAGGGCATTAACTGTTGAAATGTAAGACCTTCCTTTTTACTTCTGACTTTCTATATAAGTTAGCAATAAAGTGAAAGCTTATAGTACAGAAGCAAGGAAAGCAGGCTGTCAACTACAGGGTTTGTGTTCATGAAAGAAAGAGGGGTAATATTTTGTCAGTATATACAGAGTTATGAGCTTCCTTCCATCCAAACTAAAGTGTAGGTCCTCAAAAAAATGACTTTCTGAAACATGCTTGCCAAAGAGGAAATCCACAACACTGTAGCATAAAGAATATGGAATTATTAAAGCCAATGGGAAAAAGTGTCTTGAATATAGATTTCTCTTCATTATGTTGGCTTATAATCAAAATTTGGTGTGATATTGCTGGTTTGTTAATTCAACAGACATTTATAGAACTAATATACATTGCTTAATATGCATGACACAAGAGCATACTGAAAAAAAGGTTGTATTTTAATTTATTATAAAAAATGATTATTTGGTATATAACTTAACTTCGTTGATTCTTGATCAAAATTCAAATATTCAGTCTTTAGGTTAAGGTTGTCCTTCAATTCTATACACAGTGGCATGATAGAGAAAGCGTAGTTTTTTTTTCATTTTTAATAAATTTATTATAATTATTTCTTCAAAGTAACATGCTTTATGGAGTGTTCCCTCTGCCTTTTTTTGTATTTTATTTTTTTCTTATCAGTTACATTTTATTAACTCTGTATCCCAGCTGTGTCCCGATCCCTCATTCCCTGCCAGTCCCTCCCTCCCTCCCTCATCTCCACCCTGCCCCTTGCCAAGTCCACTGATAGGGGGGACCTCCTCCCCATTCATCTGGTCCTGTTTTATCAGGTATCTTCAGGACTGGCTGCAAAGCTCTCTTCTGTGGCCTAACAGGACTGTTCCTCCCTTGGGGGGTGGGGAGGCCAAAGAGCCAGCCATTGAGTTCCTGTTAGAAATAGTCCTTGTTCCCCTCACTATGGGAAACCAATTGGTTACTGAGCTACCACAGGCTACATCTGAGCAGAGGTTCTGGCTTACATTCATACATGGTCCTTGGTTGCATGTCAGTCTCAGAAAAGACCCTGTGCCCAGATATCTTTGGTCCTTGTGGAGCTGAAGACTCTAACTTAACTTAGTCTCAATCAGCAAGGATCTCTTTATGTAGTCCTGGCTGTCCTGGAACTCTCTAAGTAGAGACTGGTCTTAAACTCACAGAGATATGCCTGCCTCTATTTCTCAAGTTCTGGGATTAAAGGTAAGCACTGCCACATCAGCTTTGCTGTCATTCTTTTTTGTTGTTTATTATTTGTACTGAGTGAAGATCACCCCCAGAGCCTCATGTTTGCTAGACCGGCACTCTATCAACTGAGCTTCACTCCAAATCTTCAAATAACTGTTCAGGTTATGTTAAAATTAAAGTATTTATCAAGATAACTTCAGCAAGACGAAGTCACTACTCGTAACTGGAGTGGCGTAACGTACAATTGAAGTCATACACAAAATACGATGGATTGGATAAATATTAAAAAGAATCTATTAAATTTACAAAAGTTTCCAGAAGCTGGGCCCAGCAGCTGGGATGGGACATGATAGATTTTTAGGCTTGCTGGCCAGCCAGTTCAGTCAGTGGATGAACTCCTGATTCATTGAGACACACTGTCTCAGAAAATTAAGGTAGGGAAGCAATAGAAGGAGACATCTAATGTCTATTTCTAGCCTCGTCACTCATAAACATGTGCATTCTCCATGCTTGGACACACACACACACGAACACATGATAAGATAAATAATATATAATATGCATAATTTAGTTTCTTTGTAAATTTGGTGTATCAGGGACATTTAGGAAACAAGTTTCAGTAATAGGGTCATAAAAAAATCTGAGGTGTGAGAATAAAAGAGAATAAAAAACAGGCCCTCCCAAGGAAGAGATGTTATGTGAGGTTCCTGCTCTTATGAATGAGAATTTTAGCTTGACCTATGTGCTTTTTAATGGCTTCTTTTATCTCTTTATTCCTCAGGCTATAGATAATGGGATTGAAGAAGGGTGATAGAACTGCAAAGGCCAGAGCCATGGCAGTGTCCCAGAACAAGGAGTAGGTAGCAGAGAAGCGAAGATACATGAAAGCCACGCTGCCAAAGAAGAGCAAAAAGACTGTAAGGTGAGAGACACAGGTGGAAAATGCTTTGCGGCGGCCTTCAGCAGAACGGATGCACAGAATCACAGCCACAATACCAACATAGGACGTGGAAATGAGCATCACTGCCGTAATGATCTCCACAGCATGAACAATATCCACCACCTGAATTATGACGATGGTGTGGGTATCTGTGCAGGCCAGGCGCAGCAGTGGAAGGAAATCACAGATGTGCTCAAGACGATTAGAGCCACAGAAAGGCAATGTAGAGATCCAGGCAATCTCAGGGAGGGGTGTGAGAAAGCCACAGACACAGCAACCTAGGGTCAGTTGGGCACACAGCCTAGGAGTCATGATGGTAGGATAATGAAGAGGGCTGCAGATGGCCAGGTAGCGATCAAAGGCCATAGCTGTCAAGAGACAAACCTCACTGATGCCTGTGGAATGGAAGAAATACATCTGCAGGACACAACCATTCAAGGTAATACTCCTTCTTTCACTCAGCAAGCTAGAAAGCATCTTGGGGATGGTGGCTGTGGTGTACCAAATCTCCAGAAAAGACAGGGCACTGATAAAAAAGTACATGGGTGTGTGGAGGTGCACATTTAGCTGGACCACTGTGATGATAACAAGGTTTCCAACAATAATGAAAGCATAGATGAAGAGCAGTGGGATGAAGCAGATGACAGAATCTCCCCAGGAGCAAGGGAAAGCAGAAAAAATGAACTCCTGAGCAGTGGTCCAATTGGAGAACTCCATCTCTCAGTAAGAAGCGTGAGTGTCAACAACTCCTAGTAAACTCTAGCTTTTCAGAAAGTGTCTAGTACAGTTCTGGCTGAAAACACACTAAGCAAAAAGCAGTCTTTCAGAAGACACCTGCTCTGTGGACTTAGATGAAGAGAAATGAATAATGAGATCGTGTGCCTTCAGTGTTGGCTTTCAACTAAATTTGTCACAGGAGAGAAAAAAATAGAAAACAAAATCCATATTTAGTCCTAGTAACTCTTAAGTCCTAGCATGAATCAAAATTGGTGGGTGAGCTATCAAAGCTCAGATTCCCAGTGCCCTTACTGAAAATCGTATTTAGGAGGTCTGAGGTAGAAAATGAAGATTTACAGGCAATGTTGATCCTGCTAGTCAGAAACTAGTAAAACCGTCATGTTTAGATGTCTGGAGGAGGACCTGAGGAGATAGGAAAAAAAAAATTATGCTCATTTCTGAGTTCTAATCTTACTGATTTGATTCCCCAACAAAATTCTTTATTTCAGCCCAGTGCATCTGACTCTCGCATATGATCTGAAGTTTTTTGTGTTTTTTTTTTAATTGTTTTTTTTTTTTTGTTTGTTTATTTGGGATTAGAAATTTTTGCTAGAAAATTTTTCTTGTTATTATCATTTATTACAATTTGTTCAATTTGTATCCTTGCTGTGACCCCCTTCCTTGTCTCCTCCCAATTCCACCCTCCTCCCGCTATGATCCTCCCCTAGTCCACTGAAAGAAGAGATCCTCCTCCCCTTCTATTTGACCCTAGCCTATCAGGACTCATCAAGACTGGTTGCATTGTCTTCCTCTGTGGCCTGGCAAGAGTACACACCGCAGGAGGAGGAGATCAGAGAGCCAGCCACTGAGTTCATGCCAGAGAAAATTCCTCCTCCTCTTACTAGGGAACTCACTTGGAGACTGAGTGTGTGGGCTACATCTGAGCAGGGGTTTTAGGTCCTCTCCATGCATTCTCTTCAAGACCCCCAGGGTTCAGTTTTTATGGCTCTGTTGGTCTCCTTTTGGAGCTCCTGTCCCCTCCAGGTCTTTCTATCTCCCCCTACTTTCCTAAGATTCCCTGCACTCTCCCCAAACTTTGGCTATGAGTTTCAGCCTCTGCTCTGATACCTTGATCAGTAGTCTTTCAGAGCCCTCTGTGGTAGGCTCCTGTCCTGTTCCCTGTCCTCTCCTGCTTCTGACGTCTATCGCTTTTGTCCTTCTGAATGAGGATTGAACATCTTCTCTAGGGTCTTCCTTGTTGTTTAGCTTCTTTAGGAGTATAGATTTTAGTATGTTTACCCTATATTGTATTGCTAATATCCACTTATGAGTGAGAATATACAATGAATGTCTTCCTGCTTCTAGGATACCTCACTCAGAATGATCTTTTCTAGTTCCCACCATATGTTTGCAAATTTCATGATTTCCTTTTTTTTTTTTTTTTTTTTTAAATAGCTGAGTAGTATTCCATTGTATAAATGTAACACAATCCTCCATTGAGGGTCATCTAGGTTGTTTCCAGACTCTGGTTATTATGAACAGAGCTGCTATGAACATAGCTGAGCAAATGTCCTTGTTGTATAGTTGAACATATTTTGGATATATGCCTAGGAGTGGTATAGCTGGATCTTGAGGTAGCACTATTCCCAATTTTCTGAGAAAGCACCAGATTGATTTCCAAAGTGGTTGTACAAGTTTACATTTTCATTTTCACCAGCAATGGAGGAGGGTTCCCCTCTTTCCATATTCTCTCCAACATGTGTTGTCACTTGAGTTTTTTTATCTTAGCCATTCTGATGGGTGTAAAGTGAAACCTCAGGGTTGTTTTGATTTGCATCTCCCTGATGACTATGGATGTTGTTGAGCATTTCTTTAAGTGTTTCTCTGCCATTTGATATTCCTCTGTTGAGAATTCTGTTTCGCTCTGTACCCGATTTTTTAATTGGATTACTTGATTTTTATTTTATTTTTTTTTTTTTTGGTATTTAACTTCTTAAGGTCTTTACATATTTTAGATATTATCCCCTTGTCAGATATAGGATTGTTGATAAAGATCCTTTCCCAATCTGTAGGCTGTCATTTTTTAAATCATGAGTGTGATTTTCCCTTTGCAGCCTCCTCTCAGTTCCTCCTCATCCTCCCTCTCATCCAAATCTACACACATTTTTGTCTCTTATTAGAAAACAGCTACCTGGGGGATAATAATAAGGCATTACTAGGGATTTCTACCCATCTTCTGCCCTTTCTTTTAACTAGCTCACCACCTCTTTATATGTCTGTGCTTAAAGTGATTCTGAGGATAAACTGCAATGGTGTTTTTGTGCTTCTTTGGTGTTATTTAAATGATGTTCCACTCTTCCTCCTTTTATCTTTTACGTACAAGAGACTTGAAGGTGTTTTGTGCAAAAAGCCTTTGACAGAATTGCACAGTTTTTAAAAATTGAATGTATTAAGTTATAAGTGTGGGCTTGCCTGTATAATTTTGTGGGTCAGCTCGGTGGAAAGGGAGAGATGTAAAGTGACCCTAATTAGAACATAACACAGTACAGGGCATTGACCTGGCTATTTACTCTCTTCTCACAGTGCTTTGTGTCAACTTCACTGGCTTATTTTCCTTTTAGTATCAAATACATTCACTTAGAGGACAGTGGATCTCTAGTCAGCCTCTTTATATATAGTTTTTCCTACTTAGGTTTTCATCTGAGATGCTCCATTTCTCATCCCCCAGGTGTATGGATAACTCAAAATTCTGATCTCATTATTCTTCGCATCTATTCCTTTCCCCACAAAAGTCTTTTTATTTCAACATTTCACTTAGCCAAGATTCCCAGTTTCTCTTGAGTGTTGTTCTTTGTAATTAATAATACTTTGTGACTCCCTATTCTTAATCTCTCTTGGTCCCACATTGACTCTCCCCTCAGAAGCTTTATCTTCTCCCACTTTTTAAGAATCACCTATTGAGCCATGAGGCCATCTCTTTTGAGAATCATATGCTGAGCTTTTTCTAACCCTCCGGACCTCAGAGCATGACTGTATTTCACACATAGAATCTAAGAAAGTATTTAAGTTAAAATAAGGCCACTAAAGTTGATCCTACTCCACAATGACTGGTGTTTCTGTAAGGAAAAAAATATAAGCATTTTCAGTGGCAAGGCAAAGGGGGACTCCATGAAAGATGGACAAGCTGATAGGCCTCAGAATAAAGCAACTATATCAAAACATTGAGTTCAACCTTCTAGTTCTCCAAATAGTGGGAAGTTAAAGTTCTTTCTTAAAAATACCCCCCCCAACAAGCTGGTACATGACGTACTATCAACATTCAGTCAGTATCCTCCCTGACTTTCATACAGTCATACTCATTTTATGACTATCTTTTCATTAGTTTCCAAACCACATGAATTGTCAAGTGCTGTTTATTTTTTCTTATTGTATAAAAAGAAATCTCTTTTATTTTCACTATCTTGATTATGTCATTAAGGCCCACCAAACTCTTTTTGTTTGCATAAAATAACCATCCCATTTTCCTTTAACTCTATACTGAAAATAGTTGTTATTCTATAGAAATAAAAGTTGCCCAATCTCCCGTTGCTATAGTAACTTCCTACTTACCCATTCAGTTTAGAAAAGTCATTATTATTCTACTCATGTAACTTGTATTTTCTAGTTTATAAAAATCTGTAAGAGGAGTCTCTCTTTCCAGAAATATCCTGTTTTTTTTCAACTTCTGCTTCTTTATTTTATAACCAAATTCATGTGTTTCTTGTAGTTTTTGTATCTCTGCTTATTCTTTTACTTGTGCTATGTGGTAGGAGAATGTGGCTTATTCTCTTACCTGTGCTTATCATCTATCATCTATCTATTGGTCTATCTTTCATCTATCTATCTATCTATCTATCTATCTATCTATCTATCTATCTATCTACCTATCGTTCTATCATCATCTACTATCATCTATCTATATATTTATATATTCATGCTCATAATTTAAAATTTTCTTTTGTTGAGTTTTTAAATATACATAACTTTTTTTCTATAATTCTTGATAGTCTCAACTGTAGCCAGCACATCTTTTTAACTGTGGCCCTGAGAATATGGTTCTAAAATATGAATCACACATTTGCTCAAAAAAATAGCTTCTAAGTAGGTCCAGACCTTTCTGTAATCTCTAAATTTATTCTGTTAAGCAACAAAAAGCATGAGGAAACTCTGAACCAAAAGCAGCAGTATTCATCTTTGTCCACTGAATCCTCTGCTTTCCTTATTCAAATTATAGTAGAAATGAGTCTAGTACAATTGTCAGTGACATCAACTTCCAAATCCTAACTGAAAAGCACATATAATTATACACATACTCCTGAAAATTTTCAGAAATCAAACCCAATGTCTGTCTGTGTTAAATTTAAAGCAGACCTTCGTGTGAGGAATCTACTAATCCAAACCTTTGTGTGTTATATCGGCATAGCCTTGAATACGCTTTCATGTCTCTTAAAAGCCACCCCAAAGGTTATTTACAGTACCTACAGACCTGGTGACATTGTCCACTGCTACTGTGGGAGTGTTGTTTTTTTCTCTATGTGCTTCCCATCACCCTTCAAATATTCAATCCACTGACCTTACGGCTGTTGGAGTCCAAGGTCAGAAGCAGAATAAGCATGATGAAGATGCTTCCTTTGCTACACTGATGTGTGTGAGGTCTCTAAGTGCCATAGGAGAACTATCTTTCCTTACTATCTTCCACTTGAGTCTGCTATATAACCTCAGTTTCTTTCATTATGAAAGAAATTGATATATAGCTCTGATTCTCCTTGTGGTTCTCCCCTTTTTCTTTCCTTCTCTTGTTTTTTAAAGATGAGTGAAATGATTGACTCTCTTGGGAATTGTACAAAAGCAATTTAAGATTAGTAGAAAAAAAATCATCCCCTTAAGAGCTTCAATTGGGAAAAACAGCTTAGCCTAGTAATTAGGAGAATCTCAGCCCCCAAAATCTCCAGCTCATTTCA